AACAAGAATAGTCAAAAGATAGGCCGAGGTCGAGGGAGCCGGAGGACAGGTAAGCGAGATACAAGCCGAGTCAAAGGAGAGGAGAGGACAACAGGACAAAAGACAAGCAAGGTCAAAACCGAAAACACTAAGAGAGAGAACGCGCTGAGTGACTAGCAAGCTAGAACCACGACAGGGCAATGAGCATTAGTAAAGGTTTCCTTTAAATACCCTGTCACCTTAATTGAGACCACGCCCCCAAATGGTCCGGAATAGCGGTTCCCGGCACTTCACGTAATGCTGATGTCATGACGTCAACGCTAGGCGTCGCGTCATAAAAGGGGGAGGAGCTAGCGCGGCCGGCGCGAAAACGGCCGGAATTTGCCGAAATGCTAGGGGCAAGGAGCCCCTAAACAGAGAGGATGTCTTCCCTGGAGTCAGCACCAACAGGTACCCTGACAGTACCCCCCTTCTAGAAACGCCCACCGGGCGGATGGGACCGGGCTTAGAAGGAAAACGAACGTGGAAGGCCCGAAGAAGGCGAGGAGCATGCACGTCTACACAAGGAACCCAAGACCTCTCTTCTGGACCATAACCTTTCCAGTCTATGAGGTATTGCAACTTCCCCCTAGAAATACGAGAATCAAGGATGGACCTTATGATATATTCTTCCTGACCATCCACACGGACCGAGGGTGGAGGAGCAGAGCAGGAGGAAAATCTGTTACAAACAAGAGGTTTCAGTAAAGACACATGAAAAGAGTTAGGGATGCGTAGAGTAGGGGGCAGGTCCAGCAAATAAGAAACCGGGTTGATCCTCCTCAGCACCCTGTAAGGGCCTATGTAACGAGGAGCAAACTTCAAAGAGGGGACTTTCAGGCGAATGTGTCTGGTACTCAACCAGACCCTATCACCCGGAGAAAAAATAGGAGCAGGCCGTCTACGTCTATCAGCATGCAACTTAAACACTGCGGAACTACGTGTAAGAATTTGTCGAGTCTGATCCCACAACTTTCTCAGGTTGGCTATATGAATATCAACCGACGGTACCCCCTGGGAAGGAGACACCGACGGAAGAACAGTAGGGTTAAAGCCATAGTTCAAGAAAAAGGGGCTATTACGAGTGGAACCACAAACAAGGTTGTTGTGAGCAAACTCCGCCCAAGGAATCAGACCGACCCAGTCGTCCTGGTGTTCAGAAACAAAACAACGTAGATATTGCTCAATTTTTTGGTTAGTGCGTTCGGCTGCTCCGTTAGATTGAGGATGATAGGCCGAAGATAAATTTAGTTTGATGCCCAACTGGGAACAGAAGGATCTCCAAAAACGGGAAATAAACTGGGAACCCCTGTCCGACACAATCTCATTGGGAATACCATGCAAACGGAAAATTTCTCTAGCAAATATCACGGCCAGTTCAGGAGAGGACGGAAGTTTAGGCAAGGGAATGAAATGAGCCATTTTAGTAAACCTGTCAAGGACCGTGAGGATAACCGTGTGCCTACTGGAAACCGGCAGATCAACAATAAAATCCATAGCCAAACAAGCCCAAGGTTTGTTGGGAACGACTAAGGGCTGCAATAAACCACAAGGGAGATCCCGTGGTAGTTTATTCCTGACACAAACATCGCAAGCCTTGACAAAGTCTTCCACATCCCTACGTAAATTAGGCCACCAGAAGTCTTTGGAGATCAGGCAGTAAGTTTTGTGTATGCCGGGGTGACCAGCGAACTTGCTATCGTGAAAACAGCGAATAATGTCCACTTGGAATTTGGGAGACACGAACAAGCGGCCCACAGGAGTACGCTCGGGAGCAAGAGATTGTTCGTTCATTATATCTAAGAGCAATGGAGAGTGTATTTTGACATTGGTGTTGGCGATAATATTGACTTCAGGAATAATAGGGAACAAAGTGTCTTCTGTAGAGGCGATAGGTTCGTGCTGACGAGACAATGCGTCTGCCTTAGTGTTCTTAGAACCAGGCCTGTAAGTAAGTATATAATTAAAGTGTGTAAGGAACATAGACCAACGTGCTTGCCTGGCAGATAATCTTTTGGCCTCCCCCATATAAGATAAATTTTTGTGATCAGTCAAGATAGTAACTGGGAGAACAGTGCCCTCTAACAGATGTCTCCATTCCTTTAATGCCATAATGATAGCTAAGAGTTCTCTATCACCAATGTCATATCTCCTTTCAGTGTGTGATAGTTTCTTGGAAAAAAAACCGCAAGGGTGCAGCGGCTTATCTAAACTTTGTCTTTGGGACAACACTGCGCCTATCCCTGTTTCAGACGCATCAACTTCAAGTAAAAAGGGTAGAGAGGTATCAGGATGAACTAATACAGGTGCTGAGGCAAAAGACTGTTTGAGCGTTTCGAAAGCAGATAAAGCCTCAGTAGACCAGGTTTTGGTATCGGCTCCTTGTTTGGTCATATTAGTGATAGGAGCGATAACAGAGGAGTACCCTTTAATAAAACGTCTGTAATAATTAGAAAATCCAAGAAATCTTTGTATGGCTTTGAGTCCCTTAGGTAAAGGCCAATCTAAAATCGATTTTAGTTTGGTCGGGTCCATCATAAACCCGTCTTTGGAAATTACGTAACCTAAGAAAGTTACCTGAGACTGATCAAAGCTACATTTTTCCAATTTACAATACAATCCATGTTGTAAAAGTTTCTGCAATACCTTTCTGACTTGTCTATGATGTGAGTTAATGTCTCTAGAATGTATTAGTATATCATCCAAATATACAATCACACATTCATGTTGGAATTCTCTAAGAACTTCATTGATCAAGTCTTGGAAGACGGCCGGGGCATTACAAAGCCCAAACGGCATTACGGTATACTCATAATATTAAATGCTGTCATCCATTCATCTCCTTGTTTAATTCGCACCAAGTTATATGCTCCTCTCAAGTCAAGTTTGGTAAAAATACTCGAGCCCTTTAGTCTGTCAAAGAGTTCAGTAATCAAAGGAATAGGGTAAGCATTCCTGATAGTAATTTTGTTCAATCCCCGATAGTCTATACAAGGACGTAAGGTACCGTCTTTCTTTTCTACAAAAAAGAAACCCGCCCCCGCCGGAGAAGAAGACTTTCTAATAAATCCTTTGTCTAAATTCTCCTTGATGTATTCCTCTAAAACTAAATTTTCCTTGGTGGATAAAGGGTATACCGTACCCCTAGGAGGCATAGTACCAGGGAAAAGTTTAATAGAACAGTCATAAGACCGGTGGGGAGGTAAAGTATCCGCCTTACCCTTGTCAAATACAGATTTGAGGTCTAGATATTGTAATGGTATCTGAACGTCTGTGGATTGGGAAGAGTTAGTATAAGAGTTTACGGGGCAAACAGAAGTAACTCTCTGCAGACATTCTTTCCTACAACCAATACCCCAAGAAACGATTTCTCCACCCTCCCAGTCAATCTGAGGGTTATGTCTCTTGAGCCAAGAATATCCTAGTACCACTGGGACTGCCGGGGAGGAAATTAACAGAAGGGAAATCAACTCCTCGTGGAAAATACCAACAGTAAGCTTAACGGGTTTGGTCTCATGGAATATTACTGGTTCCGATAAAGGTCTACCATCTATGGCCTCAACGGCCAAGGGTGTATCTCTCAGTTGGAATGGGATACAATGCTTATTAGCGAAGGTTTGGTCTATAAAGCTTTCTGCTGCTCCAGAATCTAACAATGCCATCGTAGAAATAAACCCATTTTCCCAAGCTAGAGAGACAGGAATCAGAAGCCTATGGTCTTTTTTATTATGTATAGAGGACAGTAACGAAACACCCAAGGCCCGTCCTCTAAGGGAACTTAGGTGCGAGCGTTTCCCGGGCGATTAGGGCAACTAAGACGTAGGTGACCTCTCCGCCCGCAGTATAAACAGAGACCCTCCCTTCTTCTGTACTGTCTCTCAGCCTCAGATAAGCGAGTATTACCTATTTGCATAGGTTCTGGTGGAGTAGGATTAAAGGAGTCAGGGTTCTGAAATGAGGGAACAAGTCTTACAGGAAGTCTAGTAAGTCTTTCCCGAGTGTTCTGCCTCTGTCTCATGCGTTCATCTATTCTGGAAATGAAAGATACTAAATCCTCTAAATTTTCCGGAAGTTCTCTTGTGGCAATCTCATCTAGAATTTCATCAGACAACCCATTCAAGAATACTTGTTCGTTCCATTTCACTTCTGCTGCCAATGATCTAAACTCTAATGCATATTCTACAAGGGTCCTATTCTGTTGTTTAAGGCGTAACAGGGATCTGGCCGCATTAATCTTCCTTCCTGGGGGGTCAAAAGTCCTTCTAAATGCCGTGACAAAAGCAGTGTAGTTGTAGACTAGAGGATTGTCATTCTCCCAAAGGGGATTGGCCCATCTAAGTGCTTTATCTATTAGCAGAGTTATAATAAAGCCTACTTTAGCCCTGTCAGTAGGGTAAGCCCGGGGTTGAAGTTCAAAATGTATGCTTATCTGGTTTAAAAAACCACGACAAGCATCGGGCGAACCCCCATAACGTAACGGTGAAGTGACATGGGAAGATGCGCCTACAGTGGCTACTTCCAAACCAATACTTAGTGGGAGGCTAGCAGTGGAACGTACTTCTTCTGACTGGGTGCTGGAACGTGTTAGCAAAGTTTGTAATGCTAAAGCCATTTGGTCCATTCTATGGTCCATGGCCTCAAATCTGGGGTCAGGAGGACTAGCACCTGCAGGATCCATTTGGCCCTGTCGTAATGTCAGTATACTGACAGGGATCCAATACGCAGAGTGCGGACAGAAGGAGGTACGTATACCGGACCTTAGAATGGCCGGACTAACGTATGGACAAAACAAGAATAGTCAAAAGGTAGGCCAAGGTCGAGGGAGCCGGAGGACAGGTAAGCGAGATACAAGCCGAGTCAAAGGAGAGGAGAGGACAACAGGACAAAAGACAAGCAAGGTCAAAACCGAAAACACTAAGAGAGAGAACGCGCTGAGTGACTAGCAAGCTAGAACCACGACAGGGCAATGAGCATTAGTAAAGGTTTCCTTTAAATACCCTGTCACCTTAATTGAGACCACGCCCCCAAAAGGTCCGGAATAGCGGTTCCCGGCACTTCACGTAATGCTGACGTCATGACGTCGAAGCTAGGCGTCGCGTCATAAAAGGGGGAGGAGCTAGCACGGCCGGCGCGAAAACGGCCGGAATTTGCCGAAATGCTAGGGGCAAGGAGCCCCTAAACAGAGAGGATGTCTTCCCTGGAGTCAGCACCAACAGGTACCCTGACATAATCACTATACTCCCCAGGGTATGATCACTAAGTTCTGCTAAGAGCTTGTTCCTGTTCCTGCTCTCTAGGGAAAGAGAGGTTCACCCACAGGGACATACTGTGGAGTTACTGGGTGGCCACCATTTCATGTATGAGAGGCACATGGTGAGAACAAGGGATGAAGCACATGATGAGAACAATGGATGGCGGCCATTTTAACTCACAGACACTGTGTGGACTTTCCTACACGGTGCCATCTTGCCGGTATTTGGTGCACAGAGACATCGTGCAGTAGTTTTAAACTATACAACAGGGGGCACATTATACAGTAATTATATGTGGTTCACCCAGATCCCCCGGTTCCAAGGATATACTTTTTTTATGGGGTTATTGCATGTTTTGGGGTCCCTGTGATGTGTTTTATAATACTGTATTTCTCTGTCTGTGATAATGAGATTAACCATTGTGTTCAATAATCATATCACAGGCAGAGGGGAGGATTTTGTGTGGGAGTGTCTGTGTGTATTTTACGGATTGATTGGCTGTGTTTCAAAACCCTGTGGGCAGTACTATATTTGTGGATTGTAAATACAAGAGGCTGTATGTGCCAGTCCAGTCAGTTTCTGCTTAACCCTCAAAGTGAAGTGTTGTCTCATTAGTGGGGGAGGATTTATTGTATGCTGTTCAAGTTTTACTGCTAGGAGTGTAAACCTATTCGCATGGTTTTTCCTATTCGGCTGTATACAACATTCATGCTTGAGAGCATTCATATGCTTCTCCGGTTCGGTGGTTGTGGTGTCTGCTGCAGTGCTTGGAGTCCTCAGGAAGCGCTAGGAGCATCCTTCAACCCAGTCGGGGTGCCAGGTGATCCGTTACATACCCCCTCTGGTTTTTTTACTTACCCGGTCGCCGACGATCCCACGGCGGCGATCGTGGTTGGGGGTACTCCCAGGGAGTCCCCCGCGGCACATCCAACCTCCTGCAGCCCCCCGGCCATGTGAGAGTGAGGTCCTTGCGGTTTAGCTGGCTGCTGCATTGCCAGAAGGGGGACTGCCTGTAATGACAGGTAGTCCCCCTGCTGGCTGGAAATAAAATAAAAGAAAGTTAAATCAGTGTAAAAAAAATAAATATACTTAGATCATATATATACATCATATATATATGATCTAAGTATATATATATATATATATATATATATACACATATACATACACACACATACACTGTCTAGGTGTATTTTACTATTTATATATATAATTCTATATATATATACATATTAATATCAAATTACACGCAGGCTGATACTGATTAAATATATATATATATATATAAAAAATTATTGTTATATATATTTATATATAATATAAAAAATAAATATGTAAATACGTTAAAAAATAAAATTAAAAAAATAAAAATAATTAAAAAATATATAGATGTGTGTTATTTCGTTCTAACTGTATTGTGATTATATATATATATATATATTTATATCAAAATACACGTAGAACGAAATAATATATATATCTATATACATAAATATATACGTATATATCACTATATATAAATAAAAATATTTAAAAAAATTATATATATATAAATACATATATATATACACATACGTATATATATATGTATATATATATATATATATATATATATATATATATACATATATTAATTCTACATATATATTTATGTAATATTTTTACACAATAGGTATCTTAATTAATTACAATTAGCGGGACCTGCCTGACAACCCATGCCGGAAGTAAAGGGAATTTAATTTGCTAGCACTATATTTAACCCTATAACTTTCCAAGACACCATAAAACCTGTACATGGAGGGTACTGTTCTACCCGGGAGACTTCGCTGAACACAAATATTAGTGTTTCAAAACAGTAAAATGTATTACAACGATGATATCACCAGTAAAAGTGAAGTTTTTTGCATTTTTAACGCACAAACAGCACTTACACGGACGATATTATTGCTGTGATACTTTTTACTGTTTTAAAACACAAATATTTGTGTTCAGCGAAGTCTCCCGAGTACAACAGTACCCCTCATGTACAGGTTTTATGGTGTTTTCAAAAGTTACAGCATCAAATATAAGGCTTGTGTTTCATTTTTTTCACATTAAAATTTGCCAGATTGGTTACGTTGCCTTTGAGACCCTATGATAGCCCAAGAATGAAAATTACCCCTATGATGGCATACCATTTGCAATAGTAGACAACCCAATGTATTGCAAACGGGGTATGTCCAGTCTTTTTTAGTAGCCACTTAGTCACAAACACTGGCCAAAATTGGCGTTTTTCGCATTTTTCATACACAAACAAATACTAATGCTAACTTTGGCCAGTGTTTGTGACCAAATGGCTACTAAAAAAGACTGGACATACCCCATTTGCAATACCTTGGGTTGTCTACTATTGCAAATGGTATGCCATTATGGGTGTAAATTTTATTCCTGGGCTACTATACAGTCCCAAAGGCAACGTAACCAATCTGGCGAATTTCACTTTCAAATGTAACATGCTATATTTGACCCTGTAACTTCCCAAAATGCCATAAAACCTGTACATAGGGGGTACTGTTTTACACGTGAGACTTTGCTGAATACAAATATGTGTAATTTATTGCAGTAAAAGCAAACAGTATTATGACATTGACAGTTAAAATGTCATGTAGAACTAAAAAAATAAAAACAATTATTTTCTCCCATTTTTTCATATTAAATTATGTTTCATAGCTATTTTTTGATATTAAATGAAAGCACTGTTTCCCCTGAATAAAATGATATATAATAAGGGTGGGTGCATTTAATATGAAAGAGGTGAATTACGGTTTGACAGACATGTAGCGCAAATGCCAGGTTTTGTTTACATTTTGTTTTGTTCACAACGTGTACATTTGGCTCAGTCCTTAAGGGGTTAAATCTGATTTGTCTTATGTTAACTCATTCAAATCTATTTATTGTTCAGCCGATTCTAAATTTCCTTGCCATGCATTGTAAGTACAGACTATTTCATAACATTTCTAATCTTCAGTTTTTTTTATTAACAAAAATTTCTTGTCATTTTCACTATTGGCAATTTCACATTGTGTGTATAAACATTGCCACAAAACAGCATCTGAAAAGCTATTAAATGCAAACTGCCATTTACTTTTCTCTGCAATATCATTTATGAATTCCATGTTACTCACCAGATCAGTTATTTCTGTCTATTTTGTTGCTTCATCCGCACAGCTGCGCAGTGCTGGACTTGGATC